GCGGCCCCCGGCCGCGGCCAAGACGGATGCGGTGATCGACGTGCGCGCCTACAACGACCGCCGTCTCCCCGGAAAGGACAACCTGAGCTGCGGCGCTGGGACGAGCCCCGCGTTCCCCTGAGCCTTCGCTCCCCGCAGGGCGACGGCCCCCCAGGCGACGCCTCGGGGGCGCCGCCCGACCACGGAGACGACGGCGCGGACGGGATCCTGCGCTACGCCGTGAACATGAACCACGGCGACGCGGGGACGCTGACCAAACACGGACAGCTCAAAATGCCGGCGTCGGCCACGCAGGTATGACGACTCGGGATCCCCGCGTCCGCCAAATTTTTACATCGCGGACGCCAGCCCGAAGAAAGCATCTTTTCATCCCGTTCCCCGGACAAGGTCGCCGGGCCACGCAAAAACACAAAAGACCGGACTGAACAAAAAAAAAAAAAAAAAAAAAAAGAAGGCAATAATACCAGACGTACTATCACGAATGGTCGTTGTAACGTTACCTCGGACGCCCGCGGTCCGAAACACACGAGGTTAGCGTCGTTTCCACCGCCGCGTTCCATCCGACGCGACGCGAGCAATGAAATGAAATCACCGGCGCGAGGTTCAAGCCGCCTTTGTCGCGGTGTCGTGACGCGACTTCCACGTTACGAGGCCTCGCGCCAGCGTGACTTTGGACTGTTCATCTGTCCCCCCCCCCCCAGAACAAAAAAATATATCTAGCGTTTCTTGCCAAAGATGTGACCGGCGCGCAATCTTGGGTGTCGGTGCCAAATGATTGTGGGCCCACCGGGGAATTCTGCAGCTCATGACGGCCAGAAAGCCAATGAAAGTGATCAGCTTGCATTTACGTTGCGGCGTCCAAGTGACCCAATTTCGATTTCATGCCTGTATCGGATTCTCGATTTCCGTCCAGCAATCCTCGCTTTTTTTCTCCCGATTGTCGCCTTGGGGCCGTCATCGGCGGCGTCGACCCTCAACTGGTCGCGGGGAACACCGAGACCA